AGAGGAAGTACAAAGAACATTTGAAAATTTTTAGAAGCTTAGCACTCAAGTCAATCGGCAGTAAACAAACACATCGACATTGAGTTCAATTTATCAACTAAAGAAAGGATCAAGGAACTAAATCAAATGGGGATATAATCGAAATGAAGGTGCAGATAATAACAGGTTAATGATCCATGACAACCAATCAAGATTGAAATCAACAGGAGAAGCTATGAGTCATATGGGGAGAAATTCGAAAAATTCACTTCTTCTACCTGACGTTTGTACTGATGATGTTGTGTTAAGAAGAACAGCGAAAGCTCCACAACCAGACTATCCAGCTCACAGAATGAAACTCCTCTAAACTAAAAATAATGCATAGCAGTTTTTGGGGACATAACTAACATTAAACAAGTAAACCATTAGACACTGACGTCAAGGTTTAAAGTGTACCTTCGTACTGCAAGACCTGAGAGATTTGAATTCAATCATCAATGAATATTATTGTCACATACACCTGTCAACTCTCATCGATACTTCACAGTTCCTACTTAAGGTCAATATTGTGATCTCTCAATCATTATTACATTATCATACCTTGATTGTTAACTTGATTCTGTTTATTACTTTATTTCATTTTCGGTTTCACTTCAAAGAAAACAGAATAAAACTATTGTCTTGTGACAAACAAATAGACAAAACAATAGAAGAAATACTTTTAATCATATTGTTTGTAATCAGAAAAATTTCACTAAATGTTAACGCTTAAAACTATCTCACACTAATTCGAAATCGGAATTACTGTGATGAATAAATAGAACAAAATAAGATAAAAGTAAAAACTAATCCATAAGTAATAATTATAGAATAATCCATTAGTTATCATTTTTTTTTCTTCAATAATTACAAACAAACTATATATATACATACCGCTTTATTGACTGTATATATAATTTTGAATTTCTAGACGACAAAATATCATCTATCCACTTTTATTTTGCATTATTAAAAGTTTACAAAATGAGTTTTTTTTTGCTTCCTGATTTAAATGAATATTAAAAAAAAAGAAATTACAGTCTGATTTTGTTTTATTTTCCGATTAGAACCAAACAAAAAAAAGGAGGAAATTGTTTTATGATTTATTATTAGCTAATAAATTAAGAAAATTTTAGAAAATGTAATGAATTATACGTTGTTTGGGGGACATTTTGTACGGTGTAGTTAAAGTTGTCTTGTTTCACTATGTACAAAACATATTCACCAGGTATTTTTGTGAATTTTCATGCTTTATTCAAACAAAGTACCGATGAGTTAGTTTACATTTTGAGTTATTTTTGGTTCATCTCTACATTGCATACAATTATTTGTTAGCTGTTTAATAAAATGACTCAAAAGTTTCCATAACCCTTTCGTGCAAATTATCACGTGTTTACTAATGACCGGGTTCATGAGGATGTTGCTCCAAGTTTTATTGAGAAGTCATGACCCTGTTCGAGTGTGATACATTGTCTACCGAAGATAGTGAATGAGGTTGCGCAAGACCGTGGATAGATAAATACCGACTTACTGGTTCAGAGGTTAGGCGTTCGCGTGCAAGATCGAAAGTGCTGGGTTCAGATCCTGCGAGTTCCAGGGTCCTTGGATGTGCACTGAAGTTGAGTTTCAAATGAGGACGAAACGGCCGTCTCTTAATGCTTTCAAGTTTCTAATGGTGGTCTAACAATGATCATATAATGATTTCATATAGTAACTTAACAATCTCCACAAAGGTTTCATGCTTGTTAGCTGTTCGCCAACAAAATCTACTTTCTATCTTGATAAAATTATTGTTTTATTTGGATTTTTTTATCTTAACAATCTCAAACGTTACTACAGTTCATCAATAAATCATTAGATAATTAAGTTCGGTGACAGGGACTCAAACGTACTAGGGGTTATCAGTTCCTTCATAACAACAGTTACACTTTGTTGATAAGTGCGAAATAACAGGAAACCTAGGTTAACGGTTTTATTATTGACTTACGCCTACCTATCAATTATGACTGAGCGAAAATCATTGATTTGGTCATTATTTGTCAAAAGGAAGAAATCATCTTCAAGTTTGTACATGCGCATCATTAAGGGTTCCCATACTAACACAAAATAACCGTCTACTACTTCCAGGCTTTCAATATTCATCTAACCTAGATCGTTGTTTCATAATACCAACCTTTCTACTGTAATATTTATCGAAAACTAATTATTCAATTCCTGTACAACTTTCAACAGACAGACAATCTAAACACACAAAAAAAAAATGAAATTTGTCTCATACTTCTGGTAATTTAATAATCTTAAAACTTATCAAACTACTGATTTTAAAAAGTTTATTCAATTTCTTTTCTCCAATTGAACATCTAAAAAAAAGGAAGAAAAAGAAAACAACTTTGATTAAATTACACAGATTTCATCATGAAAGAAAAACAAAATCTACAAAATGAATGAGAACACAAATTATAGAGCATAGATGTCCGCTTTTATTCAATCTTTCAAATAACTGTGTATATGACAGCTATTCATTCCATTCATCTATATTATAAAACAGTATTTATTTTTAAACGAAATAAGAAAAAGAAATTCTTCATTTACCGAATATTGAATATTGAAAAAAAGGAAATTCAAATGCTTTTCATTTTCTTGAATTTCTTAAAGACAATTAAAATTCAAATTATTATTCTTATTATTTTGATGTAAATGGAATATGTAAAAAGCAAAGCTAATGATCCGTTTAATCGGTTTTGTTGGACAAGATGACATAGTTTCCGCAATCATGAATAATAATGATGATGAGAAAATTGAACATTGAATTGAAAGTAGATTGATAAATTGAAAAAGAAAATTTAGGGAAATTGAGGTACAAGTAACTAAGATGTAAAATAAGAACATTTTGAATTGGTATATAAGAGTCATCATACACTGAATAGATTATCTTTAATGAATATAATAACCAATGTGACATCTAAACCTCTTGGATGTTTCTACTCAACAATACAAAATCATTGGATAAAGCTATAAAGTAACTTCGTCTTAATTACATAACATACTTTGAAGAAAAGTATTTATTGTATTTATTTATTAAACATAAACTACACAAATGGTAAATATTAGAGTATGAGGTTGATGAAAGCTCAGTTTAAACGCTGATATCTTTTTTTAATAATAAACTCCGCTTCAGAAAATAAAAAGGAATCGTATAAATTTATCATGTATTCGTGGGGTTCCGATGTAGTAGTGTGTATCAATGAGCAGGACTTTCAGGTCTTGGAGCTAGCACTTAGTCTTTACCCTCCCCCTACCTTACTGAATCAGCATTCAAAAGTTTGTCATTTTGCAGAGTTTCATGCATAGAAAAACAATGCATGATGAATATTTAACCTTTTATACTATAATGAGTTAACATTCAGTTATGGACATTTCTTATTTCATTTGTACAGTCACCTTTTCATTTCATAGATTGATAATTGTTTCATATCGACAACACTTGAACTCTATCAGTCATAATAATTGTTGAATTTAGTAGTTTATAGCACTGATTGAAGAATTTTCTACGTCGTTGTTATTTGTGACCTATACGCAGAACAGAAAGAACTTGTTAGAATCTTGTATTCTGTGAATGCCTTCTCGTGCTAAAAACATCACACTGAATAAAGCGATTACTATCTATTTTTAACGAAACTAGATTAGCAAGCTATTTTCAATGTGATAATTCATTGTGTTTCGAGTACTATTGATTTTGGTTTATCAAATTACGTAACTTTATCGATAGAAAACAGTACTAAACAGTTAGACACTGATAAATTTAGATTCGTATCAAGTACCTCCAACCATCTGGTTTCTCAATATGTTATACGTGATTTCGAGCTAGTTAGACTAGTGTCTACAATGTAATTCAGTCAGGACAAATAAGAACAGATACATAGCACGTTGATCACTAGTTTTTAATCAGTCCACTTTAAACACCTAGACATACGATCAGATTATTCGAAATGCACTGCTTGAATACATCATTAAATTCTCATAAATTTTGTCTTCTCATAGTATGATCACCAAAATTACGGTTTGATTTACTTTATAATAACTGTTTTGGTTCTGTATTTTTTTGTGTAAATTGTCAGTTATTACAGTTTGGATTTTAATTTTGATTTTGTTCAAACACATAAGTATTAGTACAAAGACAACAATCGAAATAAATATTTGTCACAGGAATCAATTAGTTTGCATTTGAGATGGGATACTTCCCCGGTACGCAAACCGAAACAGATGGATGTCTTATTGGGCCACCTACCTAGTCTACAGCCTAGAGTTCTAATCCACTGGTCTGTGGAGCAACATCAGGAGAGTTGGTCCCATGCGAACCAGTGATCAACAATAGGTTCATACACTATTTGCTTCCTCAGGAGCTCCTGTAAACCTTTGTGTTTGGAATCATGGTTTTCCAACTCCCCTAAGTGGATGTTCCTTAATCATTAGCCCGATGTAAGCCCTGGTCAAACATTAGTTTTTCTTCCTCCCCACTTCATCAACAACAACCTTTCCACAAGACAGCAGTCAGTAGAACTTCACTGGCAATGTTCATATTATAGTATTTCGGTTATATCAGGGTCGATTGATCTAAACTACAGAAAGCAAATGAAGGAGATCATTAAATCCTCCTTTGTATTATCAAAATCCAGATTTTCCTTTAGATTTAATTTGATAAATATTTACATGCAGTTTGTTTAAAATGTCTCCCTTATATTAAAGATGACTCATTCATGATTTCAAGATGAAACTACCAACTTCATAATACTCTAATGCAAACTTATTGAAAAATGTGCTCACTAATGACTAACTTAGTTAGGTTCTCGGTAATTTTCAGAGAAGACATTACCAGTGTAGTTCAACCCTGTCGAGTATAGGAAGTGACTACGGAAAACAATGGGTTAGGTTGAGCAAAATACTTAGATAGATCAGAATTAGGCAATCAACACCTGTAAATATCAGCCCAGTGGTTCAGAGGTCCTGGGTTCGATTCTTGCAAGTAGCAGGAGTCGTGGGTGGGTCGTCGTAGTAGTAGTAGTAGTAGTAGTAGTAGTAGTGGTAGTAGTAGTAGTAGTAGTAGTAGTAGTAGTAGTAGTAGTAGTAGTAGTAGTAGTAGTAGTAGTAGTAGTGGTAGTAGTAGTAGTAGTAGTAGTAGTAGTAGTAGTAGTAGTAGTAGTAGTAGTAGTAGTAGTAGTAGTAGTAGTAGTAGTAGTAGTAGTAGTGGTAGTAGTAGTAGTAGTAGTAGTAGTAGTAGTGGTAGTAGTAGTAGTAGTAGTAGTAGTAGTAGTAGTAGTAGTAGTAGTAGTAGTAGTAGTAGTAGTAGTAGTAGTAGTAGTAGTAGTAGTAGTAGTAGTAGTAGTAGTAGTAGTAGTAGTAGTAGTAGTAGTAGTAGTAGTAGTAGTAGTAGTAGTAGTAGTAGTAGTAGTAGTAGTAGTAGTAGTAGTAGTAGTAGTAGTAGTAGTAGTAGTAGTAGTAGTAGTAGTAGTAGTAGTAGTAGTAGTAGTAGTAGTAGTAGTAGTAGTAGTAGTAGTAGTAGTAGTAGTAGTAGTAGTAGTAGTAGTAGTAGTAGTAGTAGTAGTAGTAGTAGTAGTAGTAGTAGTAGTAGTAGTAGTAGTAGTAGTAGTAGTAGTAGTAGTAGTAGTAGTAGTAGTAGTAGTAGTAGTAGTAGTAGTAGTAGTAGTAGTAGTAGTAGTAGTAGTAGTAGTAGTAGTGGTAGTAGTGGTAGTAGTAGTAGTAGTAGTAGTAGTAGTAGTAGTAGTAGTAGTAGTAGTAGTAGTAGTAGTAGTAGTAGTAGTAGTAGTAGTAGTAGTAGTAGTAGTAGTATTGTTTACATAAATTATGTAACAGATTACGAAAAATAAATTTATTTTCAATACAGTGAAGAAAAAATAATAATTGATGCAATATATTATAACTGTCTGATTTTTGAAAATAAATTATGTAAAAACTTTCCGTTTTACATATTAAATTAAATTTTTAAATTATTTTCTAACCAATAATGTGACTGTGGATGATGTTGATTTCCACTGGGATACATTATTGTTGATCAGTAAGAAATATTACTATTATTACATATCTATTTATTTTTAAATCAAACTAGTAAATAATTACAAATTCTGCTAAAGAAAAAAATTCATTAGTCATAATATTCATTATAGGGTTGTGGAGATTGATGAGTTTCGTTGACATCATGAATCAGTCAACGTTAGACCAACATTAGAAAGAAATCTAAAATCACTAGATGACTGTTTTATCCCGATTTGGGATTCATCAGCAGTGCACACCGACGACTCCAGAACGCGGGACTCAAACCCAGAATCTTCAGTCCTGCTCACAAGCGCTTAAACTTTAGACCACTGAGACGGCATCCAACAGTGTTAATGCATTAACTTTAATCAATCCACTATGTTGCACAACCTCATCCATTTACTCCGATGGGTAACGCCCCCACACACGACAACGTTGAACACCAGTAGTCATGACTTCCCACTAGAACTACGTCACGGAGCTAATCACTAGTGAGTACATGAATTCATAATATGTTTGTAGAAACCGCTTAGTGATTTTCTGGAGTTTAGGCGTTAACGAACAACACCGAAGGTGCTGATCTTCATTCCTGCGTTCAGGGTTAGCGGATGCACACTACTTAAGAGTACCATACCAGGACCAAATGTTCATTCTCTGGCACGTTTCAGTATTTCTTCGAAACCAAGAAATTGCTAGCAAATGCACCTATTTCATCTGGTCTCGCTCATCTTCTTCCTTCCTATAAAAGATTTGGGAAGATGTGTGAGATTCGTACTTAATTGGTATATAGACTTGTTCATAGTCGCGAAACTCGAACATCTATGTATTAAAGATTCTTTTAGTTTGTTGAGAAAAAAATTTTAATTGTTTGTATGACTTCCAAAACAAGAAGATAGAAGTTATCAAAAATAAAATAACTACAATCATGTAATAGGTAATATTGTTTTAACATCTTAATACGTTCATTTACTTTTATAAAAAGCTGTTAACATCTCCTGATGTTTAATTGCTATGACAAGACTAAAAGATGATATTTCTTCAGGTCATGATCCTTGTATTAATCTATCATCAACTTCATTTAATATGACAAGTTGGAAATTCTATCCAGTGAGAAATTTAAATTCTATATATCTAAAATAAAAAAGAAGCAAACAGATGAAAGGATTTTCGATTTAGGACGACTGATATTTGGGATATGGTTTTAAGGATTCAATCAATCCTCCTTCTGGTTCATATGTTGTATGCTACGAACTACAGCGGTCTCTGATAGCTGATTACGACAAAAGCAGGTCAAGTTTCAAGATTCACAGTAATTATTTAGGATTAAGGTTAGAATTTGCAGTTATAATCAGTAGACTGCTATTTATATTTAACCTAAACTAATACCCTTACTGTAGATTTTAAACTGCATACCCTAATTCTAACACTTACTTCAAACCCTACGTCTTGGTATTAGACCTTCGGTTCTATCATCTGTAACATATTCTTTGGTCCAGAATTATTATTTTAGCCATCATATTGTATTGGAATACTTTTATGAAGAGAACGCGATTGGTTTAATAGAAACATTCATTATTATAACCAGTTCTACCAGTGATCGTTTAACTGTACTTTTTGTTTATAACACTCTTTACGCGCAACTTCCTGTTTGTGTTACTGCCATACTTTGCTGTAGCTGCTCTTTATTTCGCCCACCTTCCTGATGTCATTTCGATTTTCTTTCGACACCACGTAATCACCAGCAAATATATTCTTCACCTTGGATTTATTTATCTTCTCAGTGACGGGTTCGTAATTAGTATTTAGTGGTGATCATAGCCAATTTCGACTAGGTGACCACTAAAACATTATGAGACATTTATCTACATTCACTGTATTTTGATTGAGTTGAACGTGCTGAAAACTCAAGTTTAGTTAGTGGTGCAGTTAAACTTTACCATCTCCCCAAAAGAGCAAAATGAATATCAGCCAACCACAATCCGGAAAAACATTTCTTAGAAATAGCTGAAAATACATTATTTCAAACTTTGCGCTGATTCGTCTTCATTATAATCATTAATCTTAATAAAAAAGAACCTGTTTAGATGTGGTTGAACCCGTGGTATGATTAGGAACTAATGTGAGCGCAAAGGTATGATCACTATCTTAGAAAATACTTCAACAGTTGTCTTGAAACGATATGAACTAGGAAAAAAAGAGGATTAAGGAAAGAGCTCTATATTTAACGAATACCACATTGAAGTAGAACAAAAAACATGATCGTGGGATGTACTAAAGGATTACTAAAACCACGAACCAGTCGAGGTCATACAACTATTCAGTACCTTCAAACAAAATTACCACTTAGTTTTGCTATTATTCTTCTCGGTTCTGCTCACCCATGACTCCACAACCGAGAATTAAACTTGGGGTTTTCGGCATCACGTCCGAATGCTTCTCCTGGGTTCGATTCCCTTTTGCAGGTTAAGCGGTGTCAATGCGGAAGAGTCACCTACTAGAACGAAACAAATGTTTAACGGATAATAGCATAGGTTATAAATTCTTTGATAATTTTAATTTTGATAATTATCATTCAGAAGAAGCTCAAACAAGATTTCGAGACGTAAATAAGGAGCTATCTAAAGTTTCAATCGCTGTGATTATTTCAAATAGGATTTTCAAAAATATGTCAGTCTGAAGTATGAAAATCGTAGAGGCTGGTTGCTGAATTTAAAAGTTAAGGGCTGAGCACTAGCAGCTCACACAGTGAACTGACTATTATAAACAGAAAGTGAAACCCATGAATATTAATTCAATGATCTGAAAGTTAGGTTTTAGGCACAAATGGGTTGTAAACCTTGGGTTTGTTCTCTGGTAAGGTAGAGAATAAAATTTGTGAATTACTTTCCTACTGTTGTAAAACAGTAAGCTATGTAATTCAAGTTGTTCAGTGGTTGTTTAAATACGAAGAGTTAGTGATTTAAAATATCTGATTGGACAATCTCCATAAAATTGAATAATTATAGTACTGGGTTCGTCACTAAGTATGCTTGAGGCTATTACGAGTTTACCATAGTCGACAAACGCGAACGAGACTTTTACCAGCGCCCAGGTAGGCTACCTTAAATCCCTAAATAAAGTAATAAGGCTTTGTAAGCGTAGAAGTACATTCTACAAACACCCAGCAATCACAGTACAATCAAGCATACAACTCTCGTTTATTTATACATCATAGAAACGACCTTGAGACGGTTACGAAAATAGCAAACTAAAATACACAGCAGCCAATCACTGCCATGGATTTTCCTGGTGGGAGTTGAAATCTCAAGGTTAACTGATCAGCCCATGCTGGCAAACGTAAAATCCAAAATAACGCATTTAACAAGCGAGTTTTGGGGATCCAACATCCCCAAAATATAGTAATCATAAATGTCTACAAAATCAAATCATCGGAACAATATAAATTGAATCTTAACAGTAGATTTCAATAGATTTAAACAACTGATATTTTGGAATTGTTTCATGATATTTGATTATACGAATATAAAGAAATGTCGAATATCCTTTCATTTATTGTCAGGTCATAACCACGTTACATCACTGCCTTCCGAAATTATTTGTATGGTAATTTTTTACTTTCGTTAAGCTTTCTGAATAATTAATGAAATCAGCTAAGTTGAAACGAAACTTCTGTTGTTGTCATAGTTCCAAAACAGTGTTATTTTTTAAATCACATCCTTCCTTAAACAAAAAGTGGATTAAATTGGTCCTTTGTTCTTAGTGAGTTGGCCTTCATTTTCAGTAGTTTCCTTTTTTTTATTTCATAGAAGATTTCTTTGGATATCTACTTTCCAAAACTATCTAACCAGAATATAACGCTCCTAATTTTTTAAAATTCAGTGTTCTTCAACAATTCAAAACGTTCTGACAAGTAGAATTTAATGCCTATCAGCCTCAGGCAGAGG